ACCATAAGTCAGTTGTGACTTGATGTCACATTAATTATTATATTATTATTATTATTTATCACAATCAGAAATTAGACTGCTAAATGATGAGATTGTGTTATTTGCTTAGTGCCCAGAATGTCCAAGTGTTTCTCGAGACTTCTAGGCTCTTCTCCAAGTGCTTCAATGACAACTAGCATGATGGTAACTTTCTTTTCCCAGAGGTACTCTATTCGTAGGTCTTGGTATTTCATGATCTTCTCCTGTTCTTTCTTTTCTATTCTGCTGTCTCCTGGGATTGCAGTGTCAATGATCCAAACCTTATTTCTCTTTTCCCCCCTACAATTGTGATATCAGGGGTGTTATGTTCCAGGGGTTTATCTGTTTGCAATCAGAAGTCCCAAACAATCTTTGTTTCATCATTCTCCATGATCTTGTCTGGTTTGTGCTCCTATGAATTTCTGGCTGATGGTAAGCCATGCTTCTTGCAAAGATTCCACGGCAACATAGCTGTAACTCTAACATGACGCTCTTTATTGTCAGTCTGAGCAATTTTACTGTAGGCACTGACCATGTGGTCAACTGTTTCACCCTTTACCTTGCAAAGGTGACATTTGCTGTTATCACTGGTGTTCTAAATCTTGTTTTCCTTCTATTCATTTTGAGTGCCTGCTCTTGTGCAGCTAGAATGAGTCCTTCTGTTTCTTTCTTCAAGTGCCCATTTTGGAGCCACTTCCAAGTATTTTCACTACCAACTTTATTCTCCCTGTCTTTCAAATATTGTCCTTGCAAGTGCCTTTCCTCCAGAAAAGTGAGTTTTGATTGCAAACTTTTTCAAGGAGGAGGAGATGGCAAAGACGAAGAGCTGGATTTATATCCTGCCCTTCATTCAGAGTCCTAGAGTGGTTTACAATCTGCTTCCCTTCCTCTCCCCACAACAAACACCCTGTAGGGTAGGTGGGGCTGAGGGAGCTCTGAGAGAACTGCTCTTGAGGGAACAACTTTAAGAGAACTGTGACTGACCCAAGGTAACCCAGCTGGCCACATGTGGAAGAGCGGGGAATCAAACCTGGTTCTCCAGATTAGAGCTCACCGCTCTTAACCACTATACCAAACTTTGGTTCCTATAACCTTAAATAAATCTGCCTTATACAACTAGAAGCTTCTCTTTGTTTTTCTTCATATAGATCGAGATGAGTAGTTGTGTTAGACTGTCTGTAGCTGCAAAAAAAGAGCAAGAGTCCCTGGAACATAACACCCCTGATATCACAATTGTAGGGGGGAAAAGAGAAATAAGGTTTGGATCACTGACATTGCAATCCCAGGAGACAGCAGAATAGAAAAGAACTTTGTTCTTTTGCTTCAGACCAACACAGCTACCCATTCTGCTTATTAAATAGAATGTAGACATTCATAGCTCACAATAACTCTGCGCACATGGTATCTATGACAAAGGCTAGACTACTGTAACTCACTCTATGCTGGCCTGCCCTTGAAACTGATCCAGAAGTTCCCAGTGATCCAGAATGCAGCAGCGCAAGTCCTGACGGGAACATCACAGACAGCATATATACAACCGGTGCTGCACCACCAAGTCAAGTTCAAGGTTTTGGCATTGACCTTTAAGGCCCTGAGAAGTTGGCGACCAGCGTATCTACGGGACTGTCTCCTCCAGTATGTCCCTAGGAGAGCGTTATGCTCCTTGGACAGCAATTTGCTGGTGATTCCCGGCCCCAAAGATGTCTGGCTATTCTCCACCAGGGCCTTCTCAGTCCTGGCCCCAACCTGGTGGAATTGTCTGCCAAACACCATCGGGGCCCTGTGGGATCTCATGCAATTCTGCAGGGCCTGTAAGGCAGAGATGTTCTGCCAGGCTTTTGGTGGTTGAGGATAGCGATGGTTACCATCTTGGCAGATACCCTCTTCTGTTCTCTGTACTCTCCCTTTCCTTCCTCCCCCACCCGTGAAGTGGTCGGCAGTCTGAAACTGGAAATAATTGGAATTCAATATCTGATTATTTTAGATTGTTGTTTTAATGTTATTTAAATATTTTATTGTATGTTTGATGTTTTATTATGACAGTACATCATCCAGAGCCCTGCACCAGCAGGGATTGGGCAATCCGATGATGATGATGATGATGATGATTTTATGTGTGTACAGTAATGCATAGAGAGTGGGATGCTGAAACAATAGCTTATGCAAACCCAGCTCACAGTCAAGCTGCCTCCACTTCTTGTCTATGTATGTTAACCTTATGTATGTGCTGAGACTTTATCATACCCACATTTGGGAATGTTGCTATTTGAACATTCCCGGTCATGGAGATGGAACCTAGGGGCTGTGCCCATGTTGGGGCAAATGTGCATGGGAGACAACAAGCTGGAGCCAGTCATCTTTTCTGTTGGTGAAAGTCATTTACAACCACAAAAAAGGCTATGGTGTGGATCATGGGAGTAGCATGTGTAGTGCATAGTGGATCAAGGAGAAGAATTAGGTGAAACTGAGTAAAAAACCTGGCTGAATCCAACACAGTGACAGTGTCTTCAGTCATTACTGGGGCAAGCACACTTGGTACCGTCCACAATGTCATATGTACAAGCTTAAAGTTCTTGAAGAAACTAGAGTTCTTCATTTCTGCCAAGATTTTTCTAGTGGTTACAAGTTTGTTGCAATAAATATTTTGATAACTACTGACATATAAAATTATTAATGAAAGTTTACGAATGGAGAGTATAACTAGAATGCAGATAGTTTACAAACTGGGAATATAATCAGAAGACAGATTGGAAGACTCTAAAACTCAGCATTTGGGTATTTAGATGCTTCAAAAAGCATAAAAACATATAACTTCAAAAAGAACAAAAACATATAACAATAGATATATGAGGTGCTGGCATAGAGAACCTTTTATGGATATATATCTTCTGCTTTGCAAATATTAAGGCAAAACCAAAAGAAAATGCTAAATCTCTGAAAGGATTTAAACATTACACACACACCCAAACTCACATGGATCTTCATACATTAAGTGGATTATGTGCCATCCTAAACAGAGTTATATCCTAAACACACGGACTTCAAGAGACTTTGAAAGGTGTAATGCTGGTTCAGATAGCACTGTAAGACTGTTTCACAGCAACAAATGGGGGGTACAGTGCTCGAATATGTACTTAGCTTATATACAAATAAGTAAGGCAAATGAGTAAAGCAAACCTAGAATTCAAAGATGTACTTCATGCAAGCCCCAGGGTTTTTATAACCAGTAGGATTGGTGACTTTTTCTTTTAATAAACAACTCTTAAATATTACACAGTGACTGTACAACTCTTAAATATTACACAGTGACTGTACAACCCTCAGTTTCAAAACTGGCTTTCTAAGTACAGAAACAGAATAACGAAGACCTTTTGACAGGACAGTGCAAGATCCATAGCTCTTTGGATTATGCTATTTTAGCAGCTTCAGTACTGAAGCATAACCAGAACACAACCATCTACTAAGCAGATGCAGGCAATTGCCTAGGGCTCCAGTGTCTCCCAGAGCTAGAGGGACATTAAGCTAGACCTCCAACAGTGTCACTGAATCGGCTGTGCTAGGTGGCACGTCAGGCAGATGCTTCCACTATCCCCAGATCTGGGAGGCTTGGTGCCATGTCCAGCTACTGTGTCAGGTGCAGCCACATCAACACACTTGATCAGCAGATGGGGCCATGTGCTGTCACTGGGTCCAGGAGGCATGGCACTGCAAGCAGCAGTCCCAGGCACAGTTGCACCAAGGCTCGTGGGTAGCCAATGGGACCCTCCTCTACCATCAGGTAGAGGAGGTATGGAACAGCAGCAAGACCCAGATCTAAGGCACCACTGCACCACACCAAGGCACCTAGGCAGGACCTTCTCCTAATGTCAGATTTAGGATTGGTGGCAGGGTCTATACAGAAAGCTGTAGCCCTCACCCTAGTGAGTGCAGCCTTAGTAGGGGTGCCTTCCCTCACAGGGCAGGGCAAAGTCATTTGCCTAAGGCGCCAAAAACCCTTAAGCCAGCTGTGAGTATAACTCATTAATAAACAAATAATTATATATCAAATTAATAGTTAGCAACTTATAAAATCATTGAAGTCAAACAATTAAAGTTAGTGGAAAAAACCCAAGGCTGCACCTGACACAGCTTTCCATTCACCCAAGCTATTTTCTGTATCTTTCCATATGCACTTTTCAAACAGTGTCCTCCTGTAAGCTCATCTGTAAATTCAGAATCTACTTTGGATGTGACAAGGTCTTTCCTTGCCACTGATTGAAACATGGACACAATCTTATGCAAAGTTCTTTGGGAGTAAATCTCATTGAACTTTCTTCAGAATACCCAGGACAGGGATGCATAAAATACCCTACTAGCAGCATCAAAGAGGGATGCTTGTGTATCTAATACCACCATGCCTGTATCCTCCACTGCAAATTTGATGTTAAAAAATGTTAACTGTTGATAGCCCACCTGATAATGGCAAATATTATCAGAGACCCTGTTCTACATACCCCCACCTTCTGCTATAAGATTGGGTAGTAATCAGAGACATGTCTTTCTTCATAGTGGCCCCAGCTTTAAATGTCCTCCCCACAGACCTAATTCTGAATTTTAGCTGCCATGTTACAACGATCCCATTCCACAGGGGTTTTATACTTTTAATACCTTGTGGTGCTTTTTCCACTCTGAGCCCACTGCATTACTTGAGATTTTCTACCTCTGTTCTCTCTGTGCATGATTATTTTTAGTAGCCTATATCCAGCCACCCACTTCTGACGATTTAATGGCACTTAAGTGCTTGGGAGAGGGAGCAGCCCTCCCATGACAACCTGTACTTTGCCTCCTAAATTCTGCTGAGCCTGGGAATGGAGGCGGGGGCTTAGTGGAATGGGGAAACCCACAAATGATTGGATACCTACCAGAAATTCTGCTGGACTCTTTATGTAATTATTATGATAAGGTATTTCTCTATGTTATCCTTAAATAAAACAAATGCTTACCATGTCAAAAGAGAGCAGGTAAAGAGGAGTTAATGAGGGAACTTCACTTAATCCACAGCTCAAATCAAGTAGTTTTAGTATTTCAGTAAGAACTTCATATCTGGTGACATTACTCATTTTGAGAAAATTGAAGTCATCTTGAGATCTTTTAGGCAACTTTTTGACATCCACTTCTAAATGCACCTGTGAAGATTTGGAAGGGGGAAATTCCCTGTAAATAAAACTGATTAAAGTCACTGTGTGAAATTTAGTATCACTATATCAACTCCTTAATGAACTCTTCTGTTACATTCTAAACGTTTCTCATTGTTTTATACTAATCTTTCATCACAAATCAGTGCAGAGAGAAACAATCACCAAGACTGGACAAGGACTATTAGCTGATACCACTGTTCATTTTATATTAAAATAAACCAACTAATATGTTATCATCAGACTAGAAGTTAAAAACAAGCAAAATTCTAAATCTCTTAATTTGAATATTTGAATATTTAGACTAAGTAAAACTCTTGTTTTTGCTGAATGTGGAATTCTATGACAACCAAGGGATCAATGGGCATTTAGTAACACAGCAAGCTTCCATTCAATTTAGACATGACCCTGGATTAAAGAAACAATATGCTCAGAGTCAAGTTGTAGCCCCTTGCACACCTTGAAAGACCTCTCCTAAACCTGCCCCTTCAGAATGGTGTGCCATGTGGATCAGATAGGGTTGCCAGGTCCTCCCAGCCAGCAGCCGGGGATAGAGGGGTAGGGTTTCAAGATCCAGGCTGGGAAACTCCTGGAGGTTTGGCCATGGAGCTTGGGAAGGACAAGGACCTCAGTGGGGTAAAATGCCACGGAGTCCACCCTCCAAAGCATCTATTCCAGTTCTCCAGGGGAACTGATCTCTGTAGTCTTGAGATGAGCTGTACTTCTGGGGGATCCCCAGGTTCCACCTGGAGGATGGCATCCCCAGGATCAGAGGATGAGGGACGGAAACCCACTGCAAATAACCATCACTGGCAGTCCTTAAGCAGCAGCTGGACAAACACTTGTCAGGGTTGCTCTAGGCAGATCCTGCACTGAGCAGGGGGTTGGACTAGATGGCCTGTATGGCCCCTTCCACCTCTGTGATTCTATGATCTCCCATTGTATTAAGTGAAAGTAATCTCTGATCACACAAGAGGCATTTTGGGATTCAAGCCGGGAACAACAAAACTAGCACAGATATTTTGGGCAGAGAGATAAGTGGGGGGAGAACGTTCGGGGGAAATTCGGTCCCCCCCCCCCCCAATTTTTCCAATAGAAAAACTAGGAAATTTTGAGGAGTAATTTGGAAAAACTCCTAAGATTTTTTTTTTTTGAATGCGAAAAGCCTTGTCTTGAAAGCATTTTACTTATTCCAAATGTAGAACATATGTAGAACATGAAGAAGTCTGAGGACTTATTCAGTTTTTCTAATGGAAAAATTTGAAAATTTGAGGGAGCACTTAAAGAACTCATAATTTTTGTTTGTTTTTCAGAATGACAGAAATGAAAGACAAGGTTTTACTCAAAATGTGTATTATGAGCATTTATGTAAGGTAATCTCACATTAGAGAATGATAATTTCTATGTAAACTGTAGAAATATACATCATTTTCAAGAATACTGTTTTGCTACCCTGACCTGGATAGCCCAGGCAAGCTAAGCAGGGCTGACCCTGGCAAGTACCTGGATGGGAGACCTCCAAGGAATACCAGGGCTGGGATGCAGAGGCAGGTTATTTCAAGCCACCTCTCTGAAACATCCTAGCCCCTCCAGGGGTTGCCAGAATTCACCATGACTTCCAGGCTCACAAGCACACAAAAATACTTACCAAAAATACTATTTTGCTTAAATGTAAATAATTAATATGCTATAATGTTATTATTAAAGAGTTCAGTGTTTTTAATGTTATAGTTTAACAGTATCTACATACATTGGCAGCCCTGTTTATTGTGACTGTATGAGAGTGTTTCCATCCATGTAAGACACTACAGAATTTGTTTTCTTTGTTAAGAGCTGCAGCCTCTAATCTGGAGAACCGAGTTTGATTCCCCACTCCTCCTCCACGTGAAGCCCGCTGGATGACTTTGGGCCATTCTCTCAGAACTCTCTCAGCCCTATCTACCTCACAAGGTGCCTGTTGTGGGAGAGAAGGAAATTCTAAGCCGCTTTAACATTCCTTAGGGTAGAGAAAAGTGAGGTATAAAAACCAAATCTTCTACTTACTCCCAGATGGCAAAAATTAAGATATATAAGAGGGGTACCAACAAGAATCTGCAGGGAAATTTTCATTTCCCCCTCCCCTGCCATTTGTTCATTCCCTTCCCTAAAGTCCCCATAGCCTCTCTCATTTTCATAAATCCTTCCCTCCCTCCCTCCCACCCACCCACCAGCCAGCCTATCTTTATCTGCTCTCCCTCCTCCCGCTTTCCCTCCTTCTCTCCCCCTGACAGCCTTTCCACTGGAAAGCTCTATGCAGTTCTGGCTACTAGGCTGGGCCAGGCCCAGTTGTGCAGTGCCAGAAGCTGGGTGGGGCCAAGGTACCTGATGCCAGGACTGCAGTTGGGCCAGGTAAGTGGTTTTGGTTGTTGCCACTAGGCCCACATGTGTGGTAGCTGTAGCTGCTGGGGCCAGGTGCATGATATTGATGGCCTGTACTTGCACATTAGGAGGCCCAGATGTACAGTAGCAGCCAGGCCCGGTTGTATGATGGGGAACCTGCAAGTACTTGCCAGGGGTACCTCACTTTCTCCTGGACCCCCTCCCCAATTACCT